ATATACCCTGCCAGAGGTATAAAGACATGTTGGCGTGATCACTAAACTGATGTTGCCCACAGAGGGGACTTACACCTACGTGGCTCGTAGTTCTGAGACTATATGGGTACGCTAAAACCCTAGTCCAACTCGGTATTATGCTACTCCCAATGAATTAAGTGGTTAACTGGTTATGACTGAATTTCTGTAAATACTGGATAGCTCGAAACTGAACATGCAAACTGAGAATGCAACAATTAATCTAATAATGATGCATTCATAAACTGAGGCATGTAAAACTGAATACCGAAATATCTTACCTAACATGTGTAATTCAAGAACTAAAGAAATACATAGCTAGGGTTCTGAAATTCATGCGATAAACTGAGTAATAACATGATAATCTGATTTGGAACATTTAAATAATTAATTCATGATGATCTGTTCAAATTCTAGAAACCCTAGGTCTGTTCATAATCATGGAATCAAGAATCTGACTGAATTATAGGGACCTAATGGGCGAAAGGAACCCACTAGTGAAATCCCACATACCTGGTGACGAATTCCACGGAGAAATCTTTCGATTTCGTAGTTGGAACTGATGGAACCTTGCTGCGTTCTTGAACTAGGGTTCTTGACTTCTCTTCTCCTTTTAGCGTTCTAATTTTCTAAGTTTTGATTAATGATTTTGACTAAGGTAAGTTTTAGTTATGTTTCTAGGGTTAATCTAATTAAAACCTCTTGATTTGGGGTCTAAACGACGCATCTTAGGAGTTAAATGAAATAGGAAAAGACCAAAAGACCCCTGAATTAGCTGCTGTCGGAGTGACTGACGGACGGGACTGACTGTCCGTCGATTGGGTCCGTAGGTCGAGTCTGCCCGACAGGGCTTCACTAAAACGGGCAAAACTCTTTACTTGGAGGTCGGAATTTAATAAACTCGGTGGCGTTGGAAAGATAATTCAATTATCTATCTAACCATAGGTCATGGGACACATAATTCGTTTTGTAATAAAAGTTATGACCATCTGAAGTTGACCCATCAACAAATTTCAGCTAACTGGTTGCTGACCCTCATCTACGGTCAGACCTACGGACCGTGGATCGAATGACGGTCCATGCTGGTCGACCGTAGTTTATGTCAGAGGCTGGGTAAGGGAAGTCTCGATCCATGGACACAGACCACGGACCGTGGTCTGATCTACGGACCGTGGGTCTGTCCGTGAGTCGGGACTTAGCCAAATTTTTTGGCTAAGTTCTGGGGAAGTTTTCTGTCATGAACCACGGACCTGCAGGACGGACCGTGAGTCCATCTACGGTCCGTGGATGGTGTCCGTGAGTGCCACCTGTAATACCAGAAATCTGAAATCTCTATTTTCGGATACGGGGTGTTACACAATACATCCCTTAAAACACTCACTTTGGGCTCAAGAAATCATCTAAAACCCAACACAACAAGATTTAGAATGAACTTCAAGAACACCTATCAAGAACTGTAAACTTTCAACTTTAAGAATGAAATTTCGCTAAAAAATAATATGATTGGCGTGTGGGTGAACAAACCCAACACTATGGAAGCTTACATATCTCTTAGGGATCAAACCCATGGCAACAATCCGCAACAACTCTCAAGAACGTCGATGAATGCCTTCATCCTTTCATTTTTATCTTTTTCTTTTCTATTCCTGAACTCTCAACTAAAACCTTAGGCGTAAACTAGGATTATAAAACTGAACCTAATCAGATTATACCTCTAAAATATTACTAAAAATGAATTAAATTTGATTGGGTAAGGAAAAGACCAAAATACCCCTCTAAAACCCGGTTTTGACTTTCCTTAACTGGACAGCCTAACTTCAAAAGGTCATATCTCACTCATCCGACCTCGAAACTTAGCAAACTCGGCGGCATTGGAAAGATAACTCAAAGATATTTCCTACAGTATCTGGTAGCGCACCTAACTCGTTCTGAGCTAGGAGTTATGGTCGTTTAAAGTCAACCCAATACTCATACTTAGCTTAACTTGCAAAATTTCAGATTTTGCTATTTCTAATTTAATTTTTTTTCGAACTCAAGGTCCTACATCTAGTGAACTTAAAACTTAAAGAAATTTTTAATTCCTTGGCAAAATCTCACTCACTACGATGAACGGTTCGAGTCTTAGTTCGAATTTTTTTTTGGGATGTTACACCCTGCAGGCTGGAAACAATAGAGGTGACAATTCAGACAACACATTGAGTGGAGCTGTTAACCTAGCAGGTATACTTGCTTGCTACTCTTCAATGACTGAGATAGATGATCTATCATGTGATGTACTAGATTAGTTGCTAGCTCATAGATCATAGACTCGGGAGCATCACATCATATGACCTACAATAAAACTATCCTTAAGAATATTAGAACTCTACTTTATCCTTTACTAATCATCCTACCAAATAGATATAAAGTTAAAGTAACTGAAATTGGAGATGCTTGTTTGAACCCAACTTTGACTCAATGTAAAGTGTTGTTTGTACCTAGCTTCAAGTTTAACTTGATATCTGTCCATTGTTTGTCTCTACAACTTAAAGGTACAGTTAGTTTTAACAAATCTTCTTGTTTGTTGCAGGGCCCTTCTCTGAGTAGCCCTCTGAAGCTTGGTAGAGCCAAAAATGGTCTATACTTTATATGCATCAAGTGTCACAACTGTTGTGCTCAGTCTGATGGCATTCATTCACACACACACCACTCTTCAAGTTGTCATTCTATTCCATCTTTACTCAGTTGTGGAAAACCTTTAGTTGAAAATAAATGTAAAGTTTCATCATCTATTGTAAAGGTTTCACAAACTACTAATAAAGGAACTTGTTCTACTGGTGATCCTATTTTCTATGCTGCAAATTCTTTTACTCATGCTTCCTCTCCTGCATCTCATAATCATACTGCTGACCTCTTGTGGCACACTAGATTGGGACATGTACCATTTGTAAAGATGAGGAATATTTCAACCATACCTGTAGATTTTTCCACCAAACAACCCTTTACTTGTGTCATATCCCCTATGGCAAGACAAACCAGAATACCTTTTCCAGAAAGTACAACCACAACTAGAAAGATCTTTGAGTTACTACATGTTGATCTATGGGGACCATACCACATACCAACTCATGATGGCTACAATTATTTCTTGACCATGGTGGATGATCATAGTAGATCAACATGGACACAGGTACTTAGATGCAAAAGTAATGCACTACAAGCTGTGAAAGCTTTTGTATGCATCATAGAAAACCAATTTCAAACCAAACTGAAAACTATCAGGTCTGACAATGGCCTAGAATTCACAAGTAGTGAGGCAACAATATATTTTCAAGAAAAAAGAATTATACATCAGAAATCTTGTCCTTACACACCCCAACAAAATGGGGTAGTAGAAAGGAAACATAAATACCTCTTGGAAACAACAAGAGCCTTTCTTTATCAATCCAAATTACCTATGAGGTATTGGGAAGAATGTGTGTTAACTGCTACTTACCTTATCAATAGATTACCTACCAAATATGTCACCATATAAACAATTGTACCAAAGAAAACCCACATACTCTCATCTTAGGAGTCTTGGATGTCTATGTTTCCCCACCATTTTGAAAAACCATAAAGACAAGTTTGAACCAAGGGCAACCCTCATATTTTTGTTGGATATCCTTACAATACAAAGGGTTACATAGTCCTAGATTTGGCCACAAAGAGGATTCATGTATGCAGAGATGTTTCTTTCCATGAACATGTTTTTCCTTTTGTTATTGCTCCTGATTGTTCTAGTTTTAACTCTATTCTCAAATTGCTAGTTCATCACCCCAATAAATTGACTTGTATGCTTAATGAAACAACCACTTTCAATGATAAAATGTTGGATACAGACACACTCCATGAAGTTATCACTAACCAAGTAGCCAACAATATTTCTGATCCCATATCAAACACAGACACAACTTCACCTAACACTGCACCAACACCACCACATAATTCTAATCCTTCCATTACTTGTGATGCTCCACCAGTGCCAGCACCTAGAAGAACAAGTAGAACCCTTCATACACCTAGCTATTTTAAAGACTACAACTACACATTACCTAACATGCACTCTACCACATCAACGCATGAACAACAACATTCCCTCACTTCATTACTGTCAAACCATGAGCATGTTTGTTTTACTATTTTATGTTCTAGTAGCCAGCAGCTAGTAAAGGCCATTTCACATGAAAGTGAACCTTCATGTTATGCTGAGGCAATCTTGAATTCTGCTTGGCAAATGGCAATGACACAGGAGTTTGAGGCACTATATGCAAATGATACATGGGAACTAGTCCCCCTACCAGTAGGTAAGAATGCCATTGGATGTATGTGGGTGTATAAAATCAAGCACAAAGTTGATGATAGTGTGGAGAGGTTCAGGGCCAGACTGGTGGTGAAGGGATATACACAACAAGCTGGGATTGATTATACTGAAACATTCTCACCTGTAATGAAAATGACCACTGTGAGAACTTTGATTTGTTTGGCTGTAAAAATGAGTTGGAGTTTATATCAGTTGGATGTGAATAATGTCTTCCTTTATGGTGATTTGCATGAGGAAGTATACATGACAATACCAGAAGGTCTTATGGTGGACAACAACTTAGTTTGCAAACTCAAGAAGTCTCTATATGGTTTAAAACAGGCCAGTAGATAGTGATATGACAAACTGGCCAGCAGTCTATGTTCAAAGGGTTATACACATTCAAACAGTGACTACTCACTTTTCTATAAGAGAAAGGGATGCTCTTTAGTTTTTGTTGCAATATATGTGGATGATATGATCTTGACTGATACAGACTTTGAGGAAATCATTTTTTTGAAGAGTTTCTTGCATGATCAATTCAAAATAAAAGATCTTGGCAAGTTACACTACTTCTTAGGACTAGAAATACTATATAGGGATGATGGTGTTCTTCTTTCCCAGAGAAAATTTACTACTGGTCTTTTGAAGGAGTTTGATAATGAACTACAGAGTTGCAACATCACCACTTGATATTACTGAAAAACTTAAAGCCACAAATGGGGAGTTGTTATCAGATCCCACTCATTATAGAAAGCTAGTTGGGAAACTTAATTTCCTCACAAATACAAGGATGGATATAGCTTTTAGTGTTCAACATCTTAGCCAGTTTATGCAATCTCCTAGAGAACCACACATGAAGGCTGCTTATCATGTCCTTAGATATATGATGCAAGATCCTACTTTGGGAATTTTCATCTCAAACAAGTCTGACCTTACTGTTACTGCTTACTGTGATTCAGATTGGGCAGCTTGTTCTGATTCAAGGAGGTCAGTTAGTGGGTATTTGGTTCTTATGGGAGACAGTCATGTTAGTTGGAAGTCCAAAAAGCAAGCTACAGTGTCACTATCATCTGCAGAAGCAGAATACAGGGCTGTGAGACAAGTAGTAGGAGAACTAGTGTAGCTCGAGAGATTACTTGATGAATTGGTGGTGCAAAGTTCATTACCCATACGTGTGTTTTGTGACAGCCAAGTTGTAGTTCATATTGCTAAAAATCCAGTTTTCCCTAAGAGAACAAAACATATTGAGGTGGATTGTCATTTTGTGAGAGATAAGCTTCAACAAGGACTAATTGCACTTCATTATATTTCCATAAACTCACAATTAGCAGACATATTTACCAAGGCCTTAACTAGAGTCAAGCACTCTACCATTCTAAGCAAGTTGTATGTAATCACACTACCTCCAACTTGAGGGGGGGGGGGGTGATAGAATTAGTTAAGACTTAGAGTTAGTTACTTAAAGTTAGTTAGGAGTCTGTTAAACACTGTTGAAGTAGTTAGTTACAATTAGTTGGTTAGTTGGCTATTCTCATGTTTTATTCATGTATATATACACAACTATTGTATTCATTATTCATTCATTGAGAAAGAAATAATACAGATCCTCTCTTCATTCTAGAATGACCCATTGTATCCTTTGTTCTTCTTTCTCTTTGAGCTTAATCTCCATTAATGGAGGAAGCTCACTGGTTTAATACTTCAATCAGTAATTCTATCATATACAAAAAATCAAATGACAAATATTTTGCATGTAAATTAAAACAGTTTAACTAGAACTACGAGTCGCATTGATTCGTTTGACATATTTTGAATTTGACAGTTTTAGTGGTAAAATGATAACTAATCATTATATAAAACAATTTTAATTGTAAACTGGTAAAGTTATTCAAGAAAACACAATCTAAATTAAGTGAGGCCAGAGCTGGACAACTTACTAACCACTAGTTATTAGTCAAACAAATGTCAAACAAACGGCTAACAATGCCATTTTCCTATTCTAAGTACGTAGTAGCTTGTTTTACGATGAAGCATAGCATATGACCAAAAAAGGAAAAAAAAATGACCATATAACCAATTAATTTTAAGGAAATTACCACCTTAAATATTACGGAAATTTGTTTACAACATATATGTTATATATAATATATTGTATATTTCGCCTATGTGAACTAAATTAGTTGTTCAAATGGTATATATTTGTAAATTTCTTTGAAATTATTTCACTGGACCAAAAAAAAAAAAGTCATAGAGACCTAGCTGGACACTAGATTCGTCCTATGATTAATACAAATGGTTGGTGCAACTTAACTTCCGTGTGAACTAAAATGATTACACTTGTCCTTGTTAAGTTTTATTTTTTTGGCATATGTGAAATCATATTATTAAATCATACTTGCTTCGGATTAGTATGTTTTACTTTAATGTAATAAAATTAATTATTTAATTAAGTAATCAATCAATTAAAGTTTATATGATTGTGTAGTTGGAAGAATGGGGCACTTGTAATTAAAATTCTTGGGATCTAATTGGCTTTGTCTTTGCCTAATCCATTTCAATCAATATTCTTCGTACCTAAGGTTGGGATAAATGTGAATACTTCGAGTTGAAGGAATTAATCCACCGGAAATTGCTCCTTCCTTCAACTAACTTGACTGCATAAATCACTAAATAAAAACTAATTTGTGTTTAATTAAACTAATTGATGTATGCTATATATTTAATTAGTATTACTTAAGGGTAAATATGGTTACGGAAATAAAATTATGAAGTTATTCACTATCAAAGGATGTGTTGCAGTGGATGAGACTGATTTTTCCTTTCTTTAATTATATATCTCAAATTTGAATCATGGATATCAAAAAAAAATTGGTAGGAAATGTTTTTTTTAATATAGCCCTATCCTATGCGAATTCGGCGTAGTCGAAGGATACCTCGATTATTCCATGAAGAAGTGACTATTATTGGGAACTTTTTTTACTCTATTTATGCATGGACTATTAATTAAAGTAACTAAACAGGCCAACAGCCGCATAATCTAGGACCACAGAGTTAAATTAAGCTAGCTAGTAGCACTGATTTATTCCAAGCATTAGTGTTCTTATGCTTATCTAATTAGTCTAATATTTTAAAAGGTAAAGCAACTCATTGCAATATGAAGAGTGTTTTAAAAGATTCGAGACAATCATAGAGACTTGATTTTGTAAGATTGACCCATTAATTATATGTACGTCTTAAAGAACGCATTGCGCATGTTTTAATATTATGTACTACGTACATGCATTGTTAACACCACCAAAGATTGTGGTAAGTAAAAATCTCAAATTCAAGATCCGAATATAATATTGTATTTTGTAGGGGTAATACTTTACCCTTTAACGTAAACATTTTCAGCACAAATTCAATTTAATTAGATTCCAAAATGAATATCGTACCCATACAAACAAAAAGAAATGTTATGGTTACATTTAAGAAGGCATTTCTCGAAACTGATAAAGTGAATAGAACGTTTCCCAATGAGCCAGCGCCTGCACGAAGCACAAGGCAAATCTTGTGTATGATTTCCTCATCTCATTAGAACGTTCTCTTCAATCTGAACAAAATTATTTCCTTCACTACTTCTATCATTATAGTGAAAATCCCAGACGCATGCACATTCTTTTCTTCCTTAAATTAGTACTTTATTTGTTCAATTTTAACGTGACATATATTTTTAAAAAATTAGAATAATTTTTAGATTTTATAATCTTAAATTAATAATATATAAAATATTTTTTAATTTAATTTTGTGATATAAAACAATTCATATAGATAATGAAAAAAATATTATTGTAGTACTAGTGATAGACTGATAGTAATACTCACAAAGAGCAGATGCATTATAATGCAAAGAGAAGTATTGAAAATACTCATAAACTTGACGTTAATTATTAATTTCATTTTTTAACTATATATCGACAACCTTAAAAACACTCAACGATTTGACTAACTCAACTTAAATACACCATCCATCTACCATATGTCATAACAAGTGGCTTCAAATTTCTGTAGGAGTGTATGACTTTTAATAAGAAATTGAAAGAAGTATGAAAATATGCACATTTAAATATGACAAGAATTTAGGGATATACTTCACTTGTATAGCAAGGTTATGAATATATCTAAATTCATTTAGTCAAATAGAGAACTATTTTGAAGATGGTAATAAACAAAATTAATAATTCACCTAATTTCACTTTTTTATACATGGAGGCTCTGTTTTTTATACATTCCACAACAGTACTTCCCTCTACTTTCACTTTTTTTGAGTCAGTTGGTGTTTTATTTGAATGAAGCCAAAATTTTGACCAGTCAACTAACTTGACTGATCCCCATGTCATATTCAATTCTTCATCATCAAACATCCTGTCCCACATTTGTTCCATGTGCCTACCACTAAAGAGGAATGGTTTAATTCTAAAAAAATAGTAATATTATTGTTATTATATCGAGGCCTCTCATACGTATTATTGGTTCTAAATTGAGATGATTACAAAAACTTTTACTCCCACACTCCTTTTTACTTGTCCATTATATTAAGAACGATTATTTAATAATATTTGTTCAGTTTAAAAAATTAAAGAGATAATGTTTCTTAAGATGTGTCAAGTCAATAATAGACAACTATGATTTTAGAGAAAATAACATGTTTTTGAATTATTTTAGCTTCGCTAGCAATACTGTCAAAAACAAATTTGGTTCAAATTTAAATCATTAACAAACAAATTTGATTGCTTTCTACAATTCACTTATATTAATCCAAACAAGAAAACATATATGTAGAAATTAATTAGTTATTCATGACAAAACAAGAATATTTTAGTTAAATAGGGAGTACCTTTTATGATATTGCTATTAAATGATAAAGAAATATAGTTTTTCTTTAGTGGAAGTGGAGTAGTATTTTGAAAAAAATAGAGGCAAAATATATACAAAAATTGGGAGGGAGTATGAAAATTTTGAAATGAAAAAGGAAGGAAAAAAAAAAATTGTTCATAGGATCCGAAGATAATCAATGAGTGGTAGGATCAATGATTGATTGATAGTTTTTTTCTATGAAATGATTATTCATTGTAAATGCTGTTACTGACAGATGATGACACCTTAGAATATTATTTCTATGTTCCTGTTCTGTTACTTTGATGACATATACTACTATTACTTACAACTAACAAATTTAAGAATATACTTACTCCGTTAATTTTTACTTTTCCACGATATTACCGAGTATTTTCATCAAGAGGCCATGAGGAAATTACAATAATAACAATTGCTCATCAATTATTTTCTTAGCAAAATAATATTTAATGTGTTTTGATTTGTTTTTCATGGAGTATTTTTTTTAGTTCATAATATTTTTTAGAAATTCTTCAATTCTAACTTTCTCACAAAGATAAAGTAATACTTTGATATAGACCTTTAGTTTAAAATATAAAATTCAAATTATTTTATTAAAATCAGATAATAAATTAAATTATAATCTTACTACTCTATTTATATCGCTCAAGTAATTAAACTAGTCTAATCAGAATTAATAGGGAAAAAACAATCTTGAAGAAAAAGAATTGTGTTGTACTCATATGTCAGAAAGTTCAGATTTTAGGTGGACAAGTGTTAGATTCTCCATGTTTGTTTTCACATGAGTATATTTCTGTCAACACATTTCTTCAAGCACAAATTAGCTCACACCTATATAGCTCTAGTACCACTGTCTCATCACACATGGCACTCATATAACGTAAACTTTGTGTTTAAACAATCAACTCAATAACGGTGAATTCAATAACTTTTATTCAAGATAAATTTATATTTATATTTGAAAATTTATCAAATATGTATCAATATTTCAAACTAACTAATTAATCTTCAAATTTGGATTTTCCATGAAAACTAATTAGGGTGATAAAGACAAGTCACATGGAAGAAGAGTACTTTGGGTTAAGCATGCAAAATAAAGGTGTACCTGATCCAAGTGGCCATTTTTCCCTCTTTGTATCATCACTTGTCCATTTCAATTATAGCCTTTAACTTGTAGCCACTCGACATATATATACCCACGGCTCCTGTTGTTGTTGGGTCCAAATA